GAATGATCCACCTTTTTATTGTGAACCGCAGCAGACATCGACTTCAGGAAATGAGGCGCTGCTTCAAAGACAGACTGCCGAAAGTGTCATCGATAAGAGGCGTAAGCTCGTCAGTAAATACTCAGCCATCGTTGCGGAATTTTAGTGCCTACCTGCCACGAGGTAAAAAATAAAGGTACAAGTAAACTGTCAACTAACAGCCGCAGATCGAGCTGTCTGGCGTTACCAGCTTTAGCGCATGATTGATTTATGGCGCAGAGAACAGCGCAAAGCTGCGTCGAGACGGATGGCAAAAAACGTCTTGGTTCTGTGCGAGCGCATTGAATGTCTCGTGCCGAGCAGCCAGGGAAAGTGTGCTCATTCTCAGTCGAGAATTGGTCGTCATGAGCAGTCGAGAGGCGAGAAGCGCTTCTTCTGCGAACCGAAGCTGCTGAGCATACGTCTGCACCCAAGGTCCTTAGCCTTCGCGATCCACGTCTTATACGTGCGCCGGTCACCGGCCACCGGTCATCAGCCACCGGCCACCGGTCATCGGCCACCGGCCCCCGGCGACGCTTAGAGCTGTCCGTCACGAGTCTGTCTGGTTTTGCGGCTGTGTCGAGACGAGATTCAGTGGCGATGGCTGAAGAACGCGGTGCAATCAAGTAAGCCGTTTTCAGTGATCTTTCGGCTCGGCACTGTAACCTGAACGTGATCGTGATTGCGAAATAGTTTGGCTAGTCATCGAGGCATATACGTGTTCCTTCGTCCACTACAAGGCAGTTGTAGAGTTATGTATTTAAAATGTTATTTTCGCAGACCTGGAATGCCGCGGTTGTAGCAGACTGCCATAGTGACTACGTGACTGCCGTTCAAAGCCGAACATCACGTGACAAGAGTTAAAATCTGAAGGCGCATGAAGTCTGTTATCCTCAGCCACTTCCTCAGCCCTGAAAATCGGTCAAGAAGCATTGAACGTAACGACGTTTGCTTGCTAGCCAATTTGGCTGCTTGCTTATGGTCTGGTGAAATGCTATCCACCGGTGCATCTTACAAGTGTCACGCTGGATAAATCCCTCTCAAATGGTACACGCCGCTTTGCTCGGCCCTTATTTGTACGCCGTATTTAACGCTGTGTGCAACCTCTTTTAAATAATGGAGAATTTACATATTTGCGTCAGCGTTCTCGGGTTTTTCGAGGTATCTAGCAGAATAGGAATCAATTACCCTGACAACACCCTGAGTTGAGTTGAATCAGCGTGTTTCTTCTTCTGTGGCGTTGCGTGTGGCCTACAATGAACTGCTTGACCTTAGTTTCATTCAGGCTTTGTTGCTTTTGCAGACCAACAATGATAGATCTTCCATAATAATGGATAATGGGAGTCAATATCTGGTTGAAATTTTCGATACCATCCCCCTACGGTATTATGTGTTTTTTGGTAGACCCTCATGGAGAGTGTCAAAGCAATTCCGAAGTGTTAGAACCAAGCGTGGTTCCTTAGTGCCTGACGTCGATCTGGACGGTTAATCCACATATCATCAAATTAGCCTAAGAACACGTGGCCTCGATTGGATAGTCGTTCATTTCTGAAACGACCCCACATGTTCGCTGTATGCGCTGCACTGGTGCTAAGCATAGTACAGTGAGCATTCGGATTTTTAAGGCGAAGGTAGCATTGGCGAAAGTGACAAAAGCACCCTCGATGCAGGACTTTTGGAGGGCCTCTTTGAAACAAGTTAATGGCCTCATGCAGGAAATCAGTCAGCACCGATTGAGATTGAGGTGCCAAACTTGGTTCCACAGGTATCTAGCGTCCAACACTCTCAAATAACTGGCCATCGAGGCAAATACCGATGGTATGGCGTTGGAGCACTGGATTCCGGATCTTGTAAAGTTGCTGAAACCACTGAGGAACTGTTTTAAACTTTCCGCAGGCATACCATTTGGATGATTGCAATAAATAATCACAATTTATTCATAGTCGAAAAAAATTAACAAAAGATTGTTTTCGGGTCCGCTGTCATGCTTCAGCAATCAACGCAGTCAAACGTCTGTCTGTATCTCTCTGGCAGTTCAAAATCATTTTAGGCTATAGATGGGTGGCAATTTTCCAGGTACTGCTTGTGACAGCCCTATAGAAGCTAAAACCACAATTTCATGGTTGAATCCTGAGACAATATGACGCTTTCCTTCAGTTCTTTGATAATTTTGCCCTGTTCTGCTTCGGCGGAATCAGCAGCGTGGTCGTATTTCCCAATTGACAAAATGACCTGCTCGTTCAATGTGTGCAGTCTGGCACGACATTTGCTCTTCCGGCTGAATTCGCCCTTCCATATTATCTTCTCTTCCGTCTTTTAGTCTTTGACAAACAAGTTACCCAGGTGTACCTGGAATCAGCTGCTGGTACGTTCTTGACGACGATCCATTCGAATTATTGCAGTCGCTGTGACAGTTGTGTTCTTGAACGACTGTCACGCCCATAAGACGCCACCTGAACAGCAACTGTACTGACGATCAGCTGTGTAAGCAAATTTATGTGAACCCTGTCAAACAGTTCCTGTAAAATAACCGAATTGCACGGTGTATTCAGCTCATTCCATCCATGGCTTACCACTGGTTTAATTTAACCAATCAACTCCGTCATGTACTTCCTTTGGAACCATCATGGTTATGCGAATGCGTTTTGCATAGCTACCATATGACTA